GAGCAGATATCCACGCCTATTCGAGACTCCAGGTATGTTTCTAGACCCGATCGAGGACGAATGAATGTTTAAGAGGGGGAGGATGTAACGACCCGATCGGTCGTTTTGAGAGTTATAGCCCTGTTTTCCTCATTTCTACTTCTTTTTTTGTTATTCAGCTATATTATGTTATATCGGGTTAGTTGGTTCGGGTCCGGAAGGAACTCGGAGTGAAATGAGACACTTAGTCTCATAATTGAAAAATTGAGTTAGAAAAGTGGATCGGATATGGACCTATGAGTAAACGATCTCGGATTCGAATTCTGATAATTCCAATAGCTCCGTATGGTGATTTTGGGCTTAGGAGCGTGTCCGGAATATTATTTGGAGGTCCGTAGAGGAATTAGACTTGAAATGCCGAAAGTTTAATTTTTGAGAAGTTTGACCGGGGTGTTGACTTTTTGATATCGGGGTCGGAATCCAATTCTGAAAATTGGAATACCTTTGTTATGTCATTTATGACTTGTGTACAAATTATGAGGTCAATCGGACGTGATTTGATAGGTTCCGGAGTCGTTTGTAGAAATTAGAAATTTCAAAGTTCATTAGACTTGAATTGGGGTGTAATTCATGATTTTAGCATTGTTTGTATATTTGGTTGAGGTCCCGAGGGGCTCGGGTGAGTTTCGGATGGTTAACGGGTTGGATTATGGACTTGGAACTCTGCTGGAATTTTTCTGATGCACCATCTGGTTTCCTTCATCGCGTTCGCGAGTGGAGTCTCGCGTTCGCAAAGAGGAACTGAGAGGATGGCAATATTTGCTCTTCGCGTTCGCGAAGGGTGGACTGGGTGTGCATCGCGAACGCGAGAGGTGTTACGCGTTCGTGAAGAAGAGAGGAAGCAGCCGAGGACCCCAGGCAATTGGTCTACGCGTTTGCGTAGGGGTGTCGCGTTCGCGTAGTAAGGGGGAAAAGAAGCATCGCGTTCGCGATGGGTTGGACGTGTTCGCGTAGAAGGCATTGAGGCAGAGGCATTTTGTGCTTCGTGAATGAGAGGGCGATGTCGCGTTCGCGAAGGAGGAATATGGACGGGAGTTATTTTGTACTTCGCGAACGCGAGGCACTGACCGCGTTCGCGAAGAAGAAAAGTCTGGGCAGTGAGTTTAAGTTCTGAAAATTGGACTTTGTCCCATTTTCAGTTTTTAACGATTTGGAGCTCGGATTTGAGGCGATTTTGGGTGATTTTCAGAGGAAATAACGGGATTCGAGGCGTTTGGAGGCCAATTCACGAGGAAAGGACATTGCATAATAAGAATTTCACGGCTTGATGTATGTAACGATTGTAAATCTAGTCCTAAGGGTATGAAACCCCGGATTTCGTATCATTTTACTACTTTAAGGTGACGCATATGCTAGGTGACGGGCGTGTGGGCGTACACCGTTGGGAATTGGTGACTTGGTACGTCCCGTAGCAACTTTAAAGTTGCATATTTTGTTGAAACTATATGATACTCATATATTTTAGAAAGAGTTTCTGTAAATTGGGTTGAATACCATGTTTGGGCCTTGCGCCAGTGCTATTTGGACCCTTAGGGGCTGTTTCTTACTATCCTCTCATTGTTTTCAATTGAAAATCTATACTCCGTCATGTTTATATTTGTTTGCTGCATAACTCAGTTTTATGACTCTATTTTGATGCATATAAATGTTTTGGGCTGAATGCCCTATTTTACTGAAATGCCAGAGTGGCTTGAGANCGAGCAGGAGATGCAGAGCAGATATCCACGCCTATTCGAGACTCCAGGTATGTTTCTAGACCCGATCGAGGACGAATGAATGTTTAAGAGGGGGAGGATGTAACGACCCGATCGGTCGTTTTGAGAGTTATAGCCCTGTTTTCCTCATTTCNCTTTGCATTTTTCCTCTATCTGAAAACTGTTGAAAAATATCTTTAAATGATTTTTACTGGAACTGGGTTAAGCGAGATGTTTTGATTCAAATCCTGACTTTAAAAGCATGTGGTATTTTACTGAGATTTTTCGATATGAATGTTATATGCTTTATTGCTCGTCACTACTACTCAGTCTTTATTTATTGTTGTTACTTACTAAGTTGGCGTACTCACATTACTCCCTGCACCTTGTGTGCAGATTCAGGTGTAGCTGGACACGGTAGTGGTTATTGAGTATTCTGGTTGCAGATTTTCTTGGAGATAGCGAGGTAGCTGTTTGGCAATCGCAACCCCTGCTCTTCTCCCTCTTATCTTCCTCTAGTTGTATTTAGTTATTTTTCAGGCTGAGTTAGCCTTGATATTGTTAGACAGTTTGTAGTAGATGCTCATGACTAGTGACACCCCGATGTCGGACTTTTCATTCCGCACTTTTATTTTGATTGGAACTCGTTTACGAAGGTTCTTATGTTAAATAACCTTGAAATTATCTTTGAAATGAAAATATCGGTTTGTTTTGGAAATGAGTCGGCTTGCCTAGTTCCACGATAGGCGCCATCACGATAGGGGTTAGTTTGGGTCGTGACACTTGCATATTTTCACAGTGCTTATATTAGTTTACCTCGTAGAGTTAAGATTTAATCGAGAGAGGGGTCTTGGCTACACGTTTGAACTAATCATCTAGTGAATTCATGAGAATCATTAGAACATTAGAGTGAATTGAACTAGAGTTAGGTCCCAAATAGCTATCTTGCACCTATCCTGTCACGACCCTTATTTCTCCCATTGATATTTTGATGTTTCTCAACTCTTGTCTTCTAGTGATCAATTATTAATTGTTTTAGTTTCATAGTTAATTTTAGTTATCAATCATCCCAACCAATGTGTTAATCATCCTGAATAGCGTTAAGCTAGAAATTACTTGAACATTGTTTAAATCCAATCCATGTAGAGACGATAATTATAACTATACTATCTTTGGCTAGCGGGCATTAATTTCGTGTTGTGTTTGCGCTCGCCAAATTTTGGTGATGTTTCCAGGGATTGGCAATCAATAATGTTCAAATTAATTTTTGGTGCTAATTCAGGAACCAATTTTATTTTATTCTTCACGATTTCTCTTCCGTGTGCATGAAACAAGTTAATCTCTTTGGTGTATGACTCGATCTTCTTATAAGGAAGTGATTCCATACGATCTAGAGGTAGAAACGTGTTTGTGAGAGTTGAGGAAAGAGAAAGAACTCATCGGGAAATTCTTGGGGCAATATTCAACCCAAGAGAACATGGCTAAGAACGGTGATGAGATAGTTGATTTGGGTGCACGGGAAACAGCCCAACAGGAAGCAGCCGCACGGGAAACTATTGAAGCAGCTCTCAGAGTTGATAAAACGGTGGACGGGAATGAAGGACAAAGATTCAACCTGAACCGACCTCTGGTTGAAGACGAATTTGTAAATAATATGCCCAAGCTTAGACCATCACTGGGAGACTACGCCAGGCCAGTCTACAATAAAAGAGTATCTAGTGTGCGATCTCCTCCGATCGCAACCAATAATTTTAAGATCAAGCAAAGTTAATTCATATCATTTAGAATAATTATGTCTTACGAGCAAAAACCAATGAAGATCCAAATACTCATTTAATGGATTTTGATGAGATTATGAATACCTTCCAGCACAACGGGGTATCAAAAGATTCTATCTATTTAAGGACATTTCCTTTTTCAGTGAGGGAAGATGCTAAGCACTGGTGGCAGAGTTTGCCGACTGAGTCAATTCAAACTTGGCAAGATATGACAAAGAAGTTCCTTGAAAAATATTTTTTAGCTGCAAAAATAGGGAAAATTCGAAGAGAGATCCACAACTTCGAGCAGAAAGATACATAAACGGTGTTTGGAGCGTGGGAAAGATTTAAGGATATTGTTAGAAGATGTCATCAACATGGAGTAGACTTATGGATACCACTCCAAGATTTCTAGGATGGTCTGACACCCTCAGGTAGGAGGACGCTAAACAACGCAGTTGAAGTTCCTCCTATGAAGAAAACCCCTGAGGAGATTTTTGCAATTTTGAACGAATTATCTGAAGATGCAAATCAATGGCCTATAGAGGATAACGAGAGAAGGAAAAAGGTTGGGGGTACATCAAGTGGATTCTAACAAATCAGTGCAAGCCCAACTAGACACATGGCCAGAGAGATACGAAAATTAAGCTTAGCTAAGGTCCAGAGCCAGTCATCCTCGATTTGTGATTTTTATGAAATGGGTCATCCAACGCATGAGTGTCAGGCCTCGACTACATATGAAGTGATAAATATTATGGGGAGCTTTGACAGAGGCAACTACCAAAGTGGCAACAATTTTAACTCTATGGGACACATGCACCCAGGTTTTTCTTTGAGTTCACCAGGTGGTAGTGCAAATGCATGGAAGCAAAATAACTCCAGACCCCAGGGACAGGGAGCTTCATGTTTTCAAAATTAGCAAAGGCAGCAATATCAGCCTCCACAGTCTAATCAATCTAGCATGGAAGATCTGATCAAGGCCTTTATTAATAAGACAGATGAGATGCTTGAAACCCATGGCCCAGCTATCCGAGAACAGGGCACGACCATCCAAAACTTGGAAAGACAGGTGGAGAAACTTGCTAATCTATTATCTGAGAGGGTTCCAGGAATTCTCCCTCCTGATACTGAAAGAAATCCAAAAGAGACAATAAAGGAAGTATCTTTGAGGAGTGGGCATGTCTTGGAGGATCCCAAGGCGAAACAAAAGGATGAGTTGATTGAAGGACAGGTAGAGATTGTAGAGGAGCAGAACAATAGCAACATTCAAGAAGGTGAAGTGATGGTAGATGATGGTCTGAAGAAGAAGGGGAAGACTAGAGCTCAGAAGAAGAAGAAAGATGGAAATTCAATGAATGAGGAGATTGAGTAAAGTAAATACGTGCCTTCTCTAACTTTCCCTCGGAAGCAGAGAAGAGAGAAGCTGGACAAACAATTTGGGTGTTTCCTAGATGTGCTCAACTAGGTGCATGTTAATCTACCATTCACACTGGTGCTTTCACATATGCCAGTTTATGCTAAATTCTTGAAGGAAATATTGTCCAACAAGCGGAAAGTAAAAGAGACATCGGTTGTCAAGCTCACAGAGCACTGTAGTGCTATTCTACAAAATTCGCTCCCTCAAAAGTGTGGAGATCCAGGGAGTTTTACTATACCTTGTTCTTTAGGAAATATCAAGTTTAAAAATTCTTTGTGTGATTTAGGTACTTCTATCAATCTTATGCCTTTGTCTATTTTCAAGAAATTGAAGGGAGAGATTGGAGAAATCAGATTGATACATGTGTCCTTACAGCTGGCGGATCAGACTGCAATCATACCTGAAGGAATAGTGGAAGATGTGCTTGTTCGTGTGGATAAATCTTTTTTCCCTGTGGACTTCATCATGATAAATATGTAAGAGAATAGGGAGATCCCTCTAACAGAGAAATTTTGGATATTCAGGAAAGGCAGCTCATGCTCAGAGGGGGGGGGGGACAAAGGGTGGTCTTCAAGATGGAAGGAGCAATGGGGGCCCTAAAAGAACGATCTGGAGAGAGTAAGCATGATAAGTGTGGGGTGTACCCAAAGAAGTCAGAAAAGAAGCTCTCAACATGGATGTGTGCACTGGGTCGGGCATGCAAAGGAGATCCCGATTTCGATTCAGACCCCGACTAGATGAATCAGGGGAGTTTCATTTACCTTTTGCTATTTATTTGTGTATCATGGGGACATGTCATAATTTAAAGTATAGGGTGGGGGATTGTAAATATGTACATGTGTGTTTGCTTTCTTTGTTTTGTTTTTAAAAAAAATTGACATTTCTCGACGATGGATTTCCTCGACTATCTTTTTGAGGGATCAAAGTCAAAGAAAAATATATATTTTTTGTTTTTTCTTAGGTAGTGTAACAATTCCCCCTTGGTTTTTCTTTGTGCCTCGGTTCTTTTCCAAGAGTTTTTCTTGAACCGAGTGTAGTTAGTTTTTCTTTTATTAGGAAATTTAAAGTCTTGTGCTATGGTATGAAATGGAGATAACTTGTTTAACTTTGTTGTGCCTTGAGATTAGTGAGTGTCTTAGTTGTGACGCCTAGGCTCAGTTCTTGACTCATGTATAAATGCCTATTTTGATGTTTCTTAACTGCTATGACTAGAGAGTCGGGATAGATCCGATCCTAAGTGAGTTATGTGCCAATGTGTGTGTGAGATTTTGTTGTTATTCTGTGCATGTCAATTGATGTCTAGAAATTTCCCAATGTGTTTGTAAATCAAAATAGTAGTCTTGTTCAATATAGAAAGTGATATAGGCATTTCTTTGTTGAGCCAATTATATGTCTGTGACCCGCCTAATTGTTGTGTATCCTAGTTAGCCCATTTGAGCTTGTAATCCTATTTTCTTTGGCAACCACACTACAAGCCTGACCCGTTTGTGAATTGACCATTTATTTCAACCTTTTACCTCTAATGAGTACTTGAAATATTTATGAGCTTGTAAAAGCTAAGTGGAGGTATGGTTGGATTTTTGAGTGGAACTATAGAAAAGGAGAAATGCGCATTATTTGAAAAAATATGAGAGCCACTTGTAGGGAATTTAAAAAAACAAGAGAAAAGAACTTCAGAACTTAGGGGAAAAAAAGAGAAATTGGGAGCTCGGTGCTAATAGGATGTGAAGGTTGGGGTTTGGTTAAACATAAGTGTGGGGTTTGAATTGGTGAAATTGTATGTGTATTAACGTGCTTAGGTAGGTGTAGCCACTATGATCCAAATTGTATCCTACCCGCCCCGCAATCCACATTATAACCAAATTAAAGTCCTACTTGATCTTTGACTGAATGAGTTCAATTAGTAGAGTATTATACTACGGGAAAGCCTATGATACGTCTTCTGTGTCACATGAATTTTGATTCTGTGAGTGAGTGAATTTTGTCTATTTTGAGTTCCTATCCGTTCTTGAATTTTATTGTATATATAAATACTCTCTACTTTTGGTTTGAGAGCACATGACTTGCGAAGGAAATGTAATGACTTTGACCTTTGTGTTAGATTAAGTGAGCAGGTTGTGAAAAACAATGCGTGGTGCTTTTTGAGTCGAGTTTTGAGGTATGATAGGGTGCTTATTGGGCTTTAAAAATTCTTGGCATGATGTGTTAGGGAAGTTGTTTGATGAAAAGGTCATCTCTATGTGAAGTGTAGTATGATTGCTCTGGCACGAGCAATGTTTTAAGTGTGGGGCGTTGATGGTAGGCGAGTAACTCACGATTTTAGCTATATTTTACACTCTAATTACTACAATTTGAATGTATTTGAGCCTAATTTCTAGTACTTTATACTTATTGCATGTGTTATGTTGTGTAGGAAGTGATTCCGAGTGAAGAAGCAAGTTTGGAGGTAAAATGAATGATTTGGAGCTTTGAAGTATGGGTAGAAGCCCAAGATATTAAGTCGGGATCACATTGGGGAGGGGGAGGGGTTCGAGGACCAAGTCTGGAAGTCAAGAAAGTGAGAAAAAAAAGATTACTATCGACTAGTACAAAATTCTTGCAGAGTGTAAAAATCAACTCTCTGAACTTCTCCACAGGCACACCGCGTGGGGCGGCACGCCATGCACCGCACATGTGCAAATTTTACAGAGATTTCTCCTACTTCGACTTGGAAATGATAGTTTCGTCCGGGCCCATTCCTACATGGTATAAATACACCAAAACCACGATTTAGAGGACTTTTGGCCTTGGAAGCTTTGGGAGAGCATTGGAGGCTACAAGACACAAGATTTCATCATTTTTCCATCAATTCAATACGGGAGTTTGGATTGTAACGTTAGATTGATGCTTTCTCACTTTTTAATTATATTTGTGATGACTTCCTCCATAATTATGGAGTAGTTTCCCTTATGGCTTGAAAGATATGGCGTTTTGATTGATATTTATGGATTTTAAATCTAATTCTTTGCTTGAATTCATTTATGGAGCTTTGAATTGTTTGCAACTTTATTCACCAGCTTATTTAATCGAAAGAGGAATATTGTGGTGATTATCTTGCATTATTTTGTTTGGTTTAATTAAGTGATTCTCTTAAGTATTCGAAATCGTTTGTTGAATTGTTGATTAAATCAAGTTAGGGGAATATTCGAGAGGCATTTTCCTGAAGACTAATCTATTAACGCATGATTGCATATTTTCACAGTGCTTATATTAGTTCACCTCATAAAGTTAAGATTTAATCGAGAGAGGGGTCTTGGCTACACGTTTGAACTAATCATCGAGTAAATTCGTGAGAACATTAGAACATTAGAGCGAATTGAACTAGAGTTGGGTCTCAAATAGCTATCTTGCACCTATCATGTCACGACCCTTATTTCTCCCATTTATATTCCAGTGTTGCTCAACTCTTGTCTTCCAATGATCAATTGTTAATTGTTTTAGTTTCATAGTTAATTTTAGTTGTCAATCATCAAAACCAACGTATTAATCATCCTAAAGAGCATTAAGCTAGAAATTACTTGAACATTGTTTAAATCCAATTCCTGTGGAGATGATAATCATAACTATACTATCTTTAACTAGTGAGTATTAATTTCGTGTTGTGTTTGCGCTCATCAACAAACAAGATGAGAACTACCACTAGCAAGGAATCAATTTTTTTTCCTTTTGAAAGTTTTGATTTTGTTTTCAAGCAAACTCATGTGTTTTTCAATTCCCTATAAGTGGCTCTCACAATTTCTTAAACAATGCATATTTTTCCTTTATTAATAGTTCCACTTAAAAATCCAACCATACCTCAATTTAGCTTTTAACAAGCTCATAACAAATTCAAGTGCTCAAGAGAGGTAAAAAGTTCAAATAGATAGTCAATTCAAATAAAATGGGTCAGGCTTGTAGTGTGGTTGCCAAAGAAATAGGACTACAGGCTCAGCGGAGTAACTATGATACATCACAATTAGGTGAATTAAAACATATATCTGGATCAAAAACATATTTATATCACTTCCTAGAATGAACAAGACTGCCATTTCGCTTTGCAAACACACAAGGCAAGTTCTAGACATCAATTAACATGCACAGAATATCAACAAATACCTCACACGCACATTGGCACATAACTCACTTAAGACTGTACCTATCCCAACTCTCTAGTCAAAGCAGTTAAGCAATATCAAACTCAAACAATTTGAGGCACTTATCCAAAAGTCAAGAGTTTAGCCTAGACATCACAACTAAGGCGCTCACTACTCGCAAGGCACAATAAAGTTAAGAACAATTATCTCCATTTAATACCATAACACAAGACTTCCATATTCCTAACAAAAGAAAAATTAACTACACCCGGTTCAAGCAAAATCCTTAGAAACGAACTGTGGCACAAAGAAAAACCAAGGGAAAATTGTTACACTACCTAAGAAAAATAAAATATTTTTTTCTTCGACTTTGATCCATCGAGAAGACAATCGAGGAAATCCATCATCGGGAAAAGTCAATTGTTTTTCAAACAAAACAAAAGAAAACAAACAAACATGTACATATGTACATCCCCCACACCACACTTTAAATTGTGGCATGTTCCCCTGACACATAAATAAAAGTAAGGGGTAAAGTAAACTCCTTTGAATCATCTGGTCGGGGTCTGATCGAAGTCGAGATCTCCTTTGCACGTCCGACCCAGTGCACACATCCATGCAGAAAGTTTCTTTTCTTCCTTGTTTGGGTGCACCCCACACTTATCATCCTAACTCTCTCCATCTCGCTCTTTTAAGTCCCCTATTGCTCCTTCCATCTTGAAGAGCATCATTTCTTCTCCCACTTTGAGTATGAGCTGCCTTCTTTGGGTGCACCCCAAACTTATCATGCTTACTCTCTCCATATCGCTCTTTTAAGGAGCTCATTGCTCCTTCCATCTTGAAGAGCACCATTTCTTCTCCCATTCTAAGTATGAGCTGCCTTTTCTGAATGTCCAGAATAGCTCTACCAGTAGCCAAGAAAGGTCTCCCTAAAATTAGATGGACCTCCCTATTCTCTTCCATGTTTACCACAATGAAGTCCATATGGAACACAAATTTATTCACCCGAACTAGCACATCTTCCACTATTCCCTCAGGTATGATTGTGGTCTGATCCGCTAGCTGCAAAGACATATGTATCGATCTTATCACGACCCAATTTTTTCTACAGGTCGTGATGGCGCCTAATGTCACCGCTAGGCAAGACAACGGTGAACTAGCCATGTATTTATTCTTTTTAACAATTTTGAAATAGTTTATTTCTATTTATTAAGTAAGTAAGAGGTGAAAAGTTTAATAAAATAAAGCGTAAATAAATAAGAGAGCAAGTGTGGTGTGATAAACACTGAAACACCATCAAATGTCTACTATCATATTTCCAAGACCCGGTGTCACAAGTGTATGAGCTACTAGTAGAATATACAAAATGCTAAACTATTGTCTGAAATATAGTAGACAGAAAGAAAATGTAAAAGAGAGACTCCGGGTGCTGCAGAACGAACTCGGAAGCAGCTCACCACTAAGCCTCAGTGGCATCGGGGGTGCGCGCCTGAATGGACACCAGATGCACCTGCCTCAAATCCCGCACAATTAGTGCAGAAGTGTAGCGTGAGTACATAAACAGCATGTACCCAGTAAGTATCCAGTCTAACCTCGAAGAAGTAGCAACGAAGGGTCGACATCGGCACTTACCATGGGCCAATAATAATATACAGAAATGTTAAATAGGCATGGAATATGTGAATAATTAAAATAACACAATAGCAAGCAGTAAATAAATGGTTCTCTAACTGATAGTAAATTCCAAAATCCCCATCTAACACATACTAGTTCCAGATAAATTTCGGTCATCAAATAAATTATAACCTCTCAAGCAATAACATAATATCAAGTGTAAATGGGCTCTGAGTAATATCACGCATGATTTATGCCGAGGCCGTACGGCCCGATCCAAAAATATATTGTGTGCACTCCCGAGGGTCGAACGGCATGAACCATAGATGCATCTATTATACTGTTGAGGCGAACGGCCCGCTCCCATGAGAATAGAGAAGTTTACCTCGCTCGCGGAAGTACTTGCGACGCGAGAGAACATGGATTTCTCAGAGATATTAAAATTTCATCAATTCTTCCCCAAAATAAGAAATCTAAATTGGAAGTCTTCAACTTTAAAATCTCAAGTCTCAGCTCTATTTAAGATAATTAATATGCATAACAAATATGACAGTACAATTAAGGCATGATGTAAATCTAAGACTACCCGGACATCTCACTAAATGTAGCTACGCACAGACTCTCGTCACCTAGTGCGTACGTAGCTCCCCACACAAGTAACACACAACAAGACACACCTAAGGGAATGCGTTCCGTCTTACAAGGTTAGGCAAGAGACTTACCTCGTTCTCAAACTCACTTCCGGTCCATAAATACGCTCTAAGTCCTCAACTTGGTGCCAAACAACACGAAACTAGCCAAATATTATATAAATAAATCAATATATACTCAAAAGTTCATAATTTAACTATTGGAGTAATTACCCAACCCAATTTGGAAGATTTCTAAAATTCACCCCGGGCCCACATGCCCTGATTCCAAAAATATTCGAAGATAAATGTTACCCATAACCTCACGAACTCGAATATATAATTTTTACCCAATTCCATAATCATTTTCGTGGTTAAATCTCAATTTTACCAAAACCCTAGGTTTTCCTCAAAATCCATTAATTTCACCATTTTTTCATGTTAAATCTACCTATGATTCACGTATTTAGCTAAATAATTGATAGGGATCACTTACCTCTTGATGTTGATGGAATCCCACCACACAAATGTTCTCAAAATCGCCTAAGACCAAGTGAAAATGAGGGAAATAAAGCTAAGTCACGTAATAAAAAACTCCTACACCAATCGCATTTGCGACAACTTGTTCGCAAATGCAACAAAACCATCACAAATGCGAAGGCTGGCCTTCCCTGATAGGGTCGCAAATGCGACCAAGAAGTTCGCAAATGCGAAGGGTACTAATCGCAAAAGCGAAGAAGAAGCTCGCAAATGAGAAGCCTGCCTCATCCAGGCTTCATCACAATTGCAAAGAAACCTCGCAAATGCGAACAAAACCTCGCATTTGCGATACCTGAGGCACCAGGAAAACCGCCAGAAAACTGACGTCCTTCCAACCCTCCGAACGCGTCCGAAACTCACCCGAGCTCTCGGGTCTCCACACCAAACGTACACACAGGTCTAAAAATATCATACGAACTCACTCGCGTGATCGAAACACTGAAATAACATCTAAAATTACGATTCGGACGGCAAAACGCATGAATCAAATCATGAAACTCAAAACTTCTAAAAACTCTTTCGCGTGTCCGATTCATATCAAATCAACTCGGAATGATGCCAAATTTTGCGTGCAAGTCTTAAATCGCCATACGGAACTATTCCCAAGCTCATAATCCCAAACGGACCTCGATAACACCAAATCCCACTTCAAACCAAACTTAAAGAACTTGAAAACCTTCAATGCGTCAACTTTCAATATTAAGCGCCGAAACGCTCTCGGGTCATCAAAAACCCGATCCGGGCATACGCCCAAGTCCAAAATCATCATACGAACCTATTGGAACCGTCAAATCCCAGTTCTGAGGTCATTTACTCAAAACGTTGACTCAAGTCAAACTCAACCCTTTTAAGCCAATATTAAGGAACTAAGTGTTCCGATTATAACTCGAACCCTTCCAAAAACCCGATCTAACCATCCCCGAAAGTCATAAAATAGTAAAAGCACATACGTGGAGTCTTATTTATGGGAATGGGGTTCTAGAAAGCAAAACGATTGGTCGGGTCATTATATTCTCCATCTCTTAAACAAACGTTCGTCCTCGAACGGGTCTAGAATCATACCTGGAGATCCGAATAAGTGTGGATATCTGCTCTGCATGTCCTCCTTGGTTTTCCAAGTCGCCTCCTCAACTGGTTGACCCCTCTACTGAACCTTTACCGTAGAAATCTTCTTGGATCTCAACTGGAGAACTTGCCTGTCAACAATGGCATCTGGATCCTCCTCATAACCTAGGCTCTCATCTAGTTGAACGGTGTTGTAATATAACACACGCGACCTATCGGCATGATACCTCCAGAGCATAGACACATGAAAAACCGGATGAACTCCTGATAGACTGGGAGGCAAGGCAAGCTTATAAGCATCCTCCCCAACTAACTTCTACACCTCAAATGGACCTATAAAACTCGGGCTCAACTTGACTTTCTTCCCGAACCTCATGATTCCCTTCATCGGCGAGACTTTCAAGAGAAATTTCTCACCTACCATAAATGATAAATCATTCGCCTTCTGATCCGTGTAACTCTTCTGTCTGGACTGTGTTGTGCAAAGCCGTTCCTAAATCAACTTCACCTTCTCCAAGGCATCCTTCACTAAATCAGTACCATATAACTTAGTCTCGCCGGGCTCAAACCATCCGATGGACAAACGACATCGCCGACCATATAAAACCTCAAATGGAACTATCTCTATGCTGGACTGATAACTGTTGTTGTAAGCAAACTCGGCCAAATGAAAGAATCGATCCCACTACCCTCTAAAGTCAATCACACACAATCTGAGCATATCCTCCAAGATTTGAACCGTCCGCTCTGACTGCCCGTCGGTCTGTGGATGAAAGTGTGATGACCTAAAATGTCATCTTCAAATTTAATAAGTAATTCTATGTTCTAAGACCTCAAAAAGTATTATTTATCATTCCTCGACTTGCGTGTGCAGTCCGTATAATTTTTCAAAAAGTTTTTATGTGAAAAATAGATTAAAATGCGAAATAGAGCTTTAAACCTCAACTAAAGTGACTTTGGTCAAATGTTTTAGCAAACGGATCCAGATCAGTATTTTGACAGTTCCGGTAGCTCCGTATCCTGATTTGGGACTTGGGCATATGCCCGAAATTTAATTTGGAGGTCCCTAGCTCAAGTTATGACCATTTAACATAACTAGCAATTTAAAGGCTAAAGATTCCAAGTTTGACCACGGGGTTGACTTTTTGATATCGGGGCCGGAATCCGATTCTGGAAATTTGAACAGCTCCGTTATATCATTTATGACTTATGTGCCAAATTTGAAGTCATTCCGGATTCATTTAATATGTTGTGGCACGAGGTTTGCAAATTGAAAAGTTTAAAACTCAAAGTTCGAATCGAGGTGTGAATTATAATTTCAGCGTTGTTTGACGTGATTTTAGACCCCGAATCAGTCCGTATTATGTTACGGGACTTGTTGGTATATTCGGACGGGGTCCCAAGTACCCCAAGTGTAATTCGAATCAAAATCGGAATAAGAATTGGACTTAAGCAAAATCTGAAATTTTGGGTTCTGGTGTAATCGCACCTACGGATTTTTGACCGCAGGTGCGAGCTCGCAGAAGCGAGACTTCCATCGCAGATGCGGGACTAGGCTGGCTTGGGGTCTTCGCAGGTGCGGCCTTTTTGTGCAGAAGCGGATGTCGCAGGTGCGACAGGAGTGTCCACAGATGTGGAACTTCACCTGGAAGCCTGGCATCACAAATACGAGCTTTGTCTCGCAAATGCGGAACTTTTGTCCGCAGATGCGAAAATGACTGGGCAGAGCCCATAAATTCGGAAGTCGTCATTTTTACTCATTTTTGAGTTTTAAGTCTCGGATTTGGGCAATTTCAAGGGGAATTTTCACGACTTTGAATTGGATAAGTGTTCTTTAACCAAAAGTGATTATATTTTACAAATCCATGTCTATATTCATCATTTATTTCGGATTTAGATGGAAGAAATTGGAATTTTTGTAAAACTTTCCAAAAATAAAAAATTAAGATTTGAAGGTCCATTTGATATCGGAATTGGACAAATTTTGTATGGTTGAACTCGTATCGGAACGGGTGTTCGGATTTTGTGAGTTTTTCTCGGATTTGAGATGTGGGTCCCACTGTCAAATATTTTAATAAATTTTGGATTTTTATCCGAAAAATGTTTAAATTCATATAGAATTAATTCCTATGATTAGTATTGAATATATTGAATTGTGTGTGAATAGATTTAAAGCTTTCGGAGACAAATTTAAAAGGAAAAGCTGTGGTTGAATAATTGATTGGA